TCCTAATATTGGAACAGTCCCAATAATATCAGGACTTCTGGTCACTCTAAACTGAACTGGAAAAAAAATTGGGTGACTGGTTAAAATAAAGGTCCGGCATTTTTTAAGCCCAGTGCCCAGTTTGACCACCAGCACTGCCAAGACCCTGGCAGCCTTGTCAGGGACCTACGAGGAAAAGGGATGCTAGTTTTTGTCATCATCGTCCTTCGTCCTCCTGCTCGCCAGCCCACCCTGGGACAGCCAAACAGTTAGGGGGCCAGCAGCAATCATTTTGGGGATGTGCATGAGAGCAACACCCCAGTCAATTGACCAGATCCTACCCACCCTTTCCTCAACTGCCTTTCCCCCTACCACTTGGCCTGGTCATGGGTTACATTGGACCTCTGGGTCCTGGACATAGTGGCTCGGGGCAATACCCTGCAGTTCATGGCCGCCCTCCCCTGCATTTTCTCATCCGTCTTCAGGGACCTTTCTCACGAGCAGCTCCTCATTCAGGAGGTAGAGACGCTCCTAGGCTTGGGGGTTGTGGAGGAGTACCTCGGGACATGGAAGGAAGAGGTTTCTACTTCTGCTACTTCCTAATCCCAAAGGCTAACGGAGGCCTCAGGCCCATCCTGGACCTGCGTGGCCTCAACAAGTCTTGCAAGAAGTCGAAGTTCCGTATGGGCTCCCTGGCCTCCATCATCCTCTCCCTGGATCCGGGGGACTGGTACGCCGCACGTGACCTAAAGGATGCTTACTTCCATGTCTCCATATTCCCGGGCCACAGGCACTTCCCGCGCTTCATAGTGGCTGGGTGTCACTTGCAGTTCATGGTGTTACCCTTTGGCCTGTCCTTAGCCCCCCAGGTGTTCATGAAATGTGCGGTGCCGGTAGCAACTTCCTTGAGATGTCAGGGGGTCCAGATCTTCCTCTATCTCGACAACTGGCTCATCAAGGGCAGGTCTCTGGGGTAGGTCTAACGGAGCCTCAAACTGGTGCGAGCCGTCTGCGATGATCTGGGCTTGTTAATAAACACAGAAAAGTTCACGTTCACGCCAGTCCAACACATATTGTTTATCGGAACAGTTCTCGACTCCACGCGAGCCAGGTCCTTCCGTCCGGAGGCATGCTTCCAGGCCATGTCAGACTTGATTGCCCACGTAAAGAGCCATCCGCTTACCACAGCTCACATGTGCCTGCAACTGATGGGCCACAGGGCCGTGTGCACATACGTGGTCCACCATGCCCATCTTCATCTATGACCTCTGCGGGCATGTCTGGCCTCAGTCTATATTCCCAGCATGCACGCCCTGGACAGAGTGGTCACGGTGCCGAGCCACGTCCTTTCGTCCTTGGACTGGTGGCTGGATTGGGAGTTGGTGTTGCAGGGGGTTTCCTTTGTGTCCCCAACTCTGTCGCTTACCTTGGTTTCAGACACGTCAGACCTGAGCTGGGGAGCCCAACTGGGTGAGCTCAGCACCCAACACCGCTGGCTTCACAGCGATCTGGCCCTTCATATCAATGTGAGGGAGCTCAAAGTGGTTTGCCTGGCCTGCCAGGCATTCTTGCCCCACCTAAAGGGCAGGGTGATGCAGGTCCTGATGGACAATACAGCCACAATGTACTACATCAACAGGCAGGGCAGAGGCAGGTCTTCGGCCCTTTGTCAGGAAGCTCTCAGCCTCTGGGACTTGTGTGTGACATGCCATTCATCTGGTAGCCACCCACCTGCCTGGAGCCAAGAACGTCCTGGCAGATTGCCTCAGCAGGGCCTTCTCATCTCGCCACGAATGGTCACTTCATCCAGAGGTGGTCAGCCTGATCTTCCGCAGTTGGGGGACTCCCCAGGTGGACCTGTTGGCATCCAGACAGAACAGGAAGTGCCACTGTTCTGTTCTCTGCCGGGCAGGGACAAGGGCTCCCTGTCGGACATCTTCTTGATTCTGTGGTCGGGAGCACTCATGTACGCCTTCCCGCCAGTGCTGCAAATACACAGAGTCCTGCTCAAGGTAAAGCAAGACAAAGCATTGTTCATTCTCATAGCCCAGCATGGTCTCGTCATCACTGGTTCAGCATACTGCTGAGTCACTCAGCAGCACCCGGCTGCAGCTGCCTCTTCGACCGGATCTCCTGTCACAGAACTACGGCAACCTGCTGCACCCAAATCTGAAGTCACTGCACTTGACGGCTTGGCTGCTGCATGGCTAAGTGTGGACGAATGGGGTAGTCCACTGGTGTCCAGCAGGTCTTGCTGGGCAGCAGAAAATCATCCACCAGGGCCACATATGTGGCAAAGTGGAAGCGTTCCACCCTCTGCTTCGAGGCGGGTCAGTTTTCACCCATCCCATGACGGGGAGCTTCCTGAAGGGGTTGTAGCGTCTTTACCCGCATGTACGAGACCCGGTCCCCCCCCTTGGGACCTGAATCTTGTGCTGTCCAGGCTCATGGGTCCCCACCTTCGAATCCGTGGCTTCCTGCTCCCTCCTGCTTCTCTCCTGGAAGGTCTCTTTTTTGGTTGCTATAACTTCGGCCTATAGGGTGTCCGAGATCAGGACGCTCATTTCGGAGCCGCCCTAGACGCATAGGTGCCACTTTTCCTGATGCCGGTGGGTGCTCGGCCCTGCTCTGTCTCCCCCGATTCCCCGCCCCGCCCCCATTCCAACCCCTTCCCCAAAGTCCCCGCCCTAACTCCGCCCCCTCCCTGCCCCTATTGGACTTCTTCCCCAAATCCTCACCCCGGCCCTGCCTCTTCCACGAGTGCACCGCGTTCCCCCTCCTCCCCCTTCCTTCCCAGCAGTTGCTGCCGTGACACAGCTGTTTTGTGGCGGCAAGCGCTGGAGCTAGGAGGAGAAGCAGCGCGCTCAGGGGAGGAGGCGGAGCAGAGGTGAAGGTGAGCTGGGGCGGGGAGCTGCCGGTGGGTGCAGAGCACCCACCAATTTTTCCCCGTGGGTCCTCCGGGGCTGGAGCACCCACGGAGTCAGTGCCCTATGTCTAGACAGTCTTCTACAAGGACAAGGTCCAGCTGCGTTCACACCTGGCCTTTCCGCCCAAGGTTGTCTCCCAGTTCCACACTGGTCAGAACATTTACATACCAGTTCTTTGTCCAAAGCCTCATGCAAAGGATGAGGAGAGCAGGCTGCATACCTTGGACATCAGAAGGGCGCTGGGCTTCTATATTGATAGATCGAGGCCATTCCGTTAAGTCAACACAGTCATTTGTTGCTGTCACTGACAGGATGAAAGGTTGCCCAGTGTCAGTCCAGAAAATCTCATCTTGGATCATGGCCTGCATCCACTATTGCTACGAGCTGGCAAGGGTGCCCCCGCCGGTGATCATGATGGTTCATTTGACTAGGGTGCAGACATCATAAGCTGCCTTCCTGGAGCATGTGCTGATCCAAGAGATCTGTCGGGCTGCGACCTGGTCGTCCATCCACATGTTTGCATCACATAATGTGCTGGTTCAGCAGGTGCGAGACGACACTGGCTTTGGCAAAGCAGTGCTGCAAGCTGTGAGACTCTAAACTCTGAGCCCACCTCCGTTCATTCTGCTTGTGAGTCACCTAGAATGGAATGGACATGAACAAGCACTCGAAGAAGAAAAAACGGTGACCTGCCTTTCGTAACTGTTGTTCTTCGAGATGTGTTCGAATCATGGAATCATAGACTTTAAGGTCAGAAGGGACCATTATGATCATCTAGTCTGACCTCCTGCACAACGCAGGCCACAGAATCTCACCCACCTACTCCTGTAACAAACCCCTAACCTATGTCTGAGTTACTGAAGTCCTCAAATCATGGTTTAAAGACCTCAAGGTGCAGAGAATCCTCCAGCAAGTGACCCGTGCCCCACGCTGCAGAGGAAGGCGAAAAACCTCCAGGGCCTCTGTCAATCTGCCCTGGAGGAAAATTCCTTCCTGACCCCCAAAATGGCGATCAGCTAAACCCTGAGCATGTGGGCAAGACTCACCAGCCAGCACCCAGAAAAGAATTCTCTGTAGTAACTCAGATCTCACCCCAACTAACATCCCATGTACATTCCATTTCTCGACCTTCAACCCCTCTGTCGGAGTTATCGGCAAGAAGGAACTAAGAGGGCATAGGGTCAGCGCTGCCTGATATATAGCGGCATGAGCGCAGTACTCCAGAGGGTGCCCACAGCGGGCTCTACAGGTACTGCTAAGGCAAAAATCTGTGATGGCCGTGCACATGGGCGCATGCACACCTAGAATGGAATGGACATGAGCAACACATCTTGAAGAACAACAGTTATGAAAGGTAGGTAATCATTTTTTTCTCTTGTTATTGAGGGAGACTTAGGTCAAAGGAGTGTGTGTACATTCTGCTCCCATGACATGCTATGATGTAATAAGCTGTGTTGGCTAGTGGGTCCAAAAATAGTAATTCAGGACTCCTGGCAATGTCTGGAAATAGGACAATAGGATTTTCCATACTTGTTTAGACACTTGATCCATCAAATTCACTATCCTGCCTCTGACAGTGGCCAGTATCAGATATGTTACTTGAGGGGAAGGCAACCACCCTGTAAGTCACCTGGTCAATTGTACAATATTGCACACTCTGCAGGAATTCTTCCTGATCCCCATAGATGTTTTGATCAATGTATCTCCCCACAGCATTTACTTGGATTGTTTTTCCCTTTCCTGGAATTATTGGTCATAAAATTATATCCGGACATTTTAAAAAAGTTTTGTCATCAGCGACAGGGAGGCTATTGGGAATAAGAGGATGGGGATGAGGTGGGTCTAGTCAAAGGGCGGGGGAGATGAAGGTGGGGCTAGGG